TGACTGCCCATTGATGATCCCACCAATCTGTAAATATATTATCATGTTCTGTTCACTTCATTTAATGCATTTTTAATGTATTTCATGTATTTTCATGTATTTTTATTTGTAATTCTGGTCTGTGACCATAATAAAGATGATAGATAGGACTAAAATTAAATATAAATACCAAACTAATGACATCAGGTAGAACAACCAGCCTTAGAACTGACAATGAAGATATTGCAGTGATGGATAGCTTCTGCCTTTTATGATCAACCATCAACAGTAAAGGAACCAGCAGTCAAGAAGTATGCCACAGACCAGCAATTGGTACAGCAGCCATGAAGGCCTTGGTAAAGATATCCAAATATTGTGGTGTGTCTATACCTACAAAGTTCAGAAGTGTGCAATCCATAGTATTCCCTGTTACACTCTATGGGAACGAAAGCTGGACTTCGAAGAAGCAGGATAGGAAGACTATTGGCGCCTTTGAAGTTTGATGCTGGAGAAAACTCCTAGAATACCATGGGCAGCCAAGAAAACAAACCGATGAATCATCAAACAAATCAACCCAGAGTTATCACTCAAGACACAAATGATGAAGCTCAAATTATCCTACTTTGGACACATTATGCAAAGACCTAGCTCTCTGGAAAAGGCTGTAATGCTGGGAAAGGTGGAAGGAAAGAGAAGAGAACCACCAGCAGCAAGGTGAATGGACTCGGTTACAGTGAGGGCAATGAGCGTGCCATTGGCAAACCTGAAAGACCAGGTTAGGAATAGATGTCATGGAGAAAATCTATCTATGTGGTTTCTAGGAATCAAAAACAACTTGATGGCACATGATCAATCTATTCTGTGAGTTTTGGAGGTGTGTGGTTTCCTCTTTGTGGTTCCTTGATTAGACCATTGCTTTCTGCCATTTGTATGTCTGGTGTTGATCCCTGTTTATGAGGGTTGGCTGCTGGAGGGAATGTGTTCCAGTCTTTTTATTTACTCCTAAGTTTTTTATTCTCTCTTAGGCCAGAAAGAAGGGGTGAGCAATAGTCTAGCATTCTTATGTACTTCTGCCCAGGCTGATACCTCTTCCTGATGCTCTTGCTTGAATAGAAATTGATGACAGCGCTTCCTTTAGCAATGTGTGGAGTAAGAATTGCAGTGGAAAATGAATCAGAGCACTGCCCTTCAGCTCTACAATCTCAGGGGAACAGCCAAAATTAGCTGAGTATTTTATCTGGCAGGGTGGGTAGCTTTCAATACCAACTTCTTTTCTTGTTGATTTGAAGAAGATAGAATACTTATCTCCTTATCAAACCCAATCTTTTTTTTTTAAAGGTCTGTTCATAATATAAAATGAATAATTTAGTATTCATTTTTGTCATATTTGCACACTTTGCAGACCAGGCTCATGAAATTTAATACTAAGTGACCTTCCTATAGTAAATAGGCATAGGATGCAATCTCAAAAACCTAAGTGCCTCAGTTTTGTTCAAGTACATTTGTGATTATAAGGTACAGAATTGTAAAGGCATAAAACTAGAAGGGGCACTGAATTTGTCTGTCTACTCAGTGCAGTAATCCAATTAAAACATCACTGATGAAGGTCAATCCAGAACCTTCATGATGTTAAGAAAGAGAAATAAAGATCTGAAAAACTATATAATCTACATATTCGATCTTAGATCCATCCCTGGACTTAGAGGATAATGGGTCATGAGCAAAATATACAAAGCTCCTGTTGTTAATTACAATTGGTTGCTTGCTTCTTCTGGTGATCTTGATTAGGCTTTGTTTATTGTTGTCTTTAGAGACAGTTACACACTGTGCACTATTTATTCATTCTATTCATGCATTCATTGTAAATAAGTGAGTGAGGAATGAGGAATGGAGAGGGTGAATTATTCAGGAGGTCAGCAATCCAAGGAAAAATCAGTTTGGGGCAAGTGCTTAGTGATAGAGAAGGAAATTTAAAAAATGGGAAATTTACTGAGAGAGATAGAAATTTAACTCTCTGTCATTCATGTCTCTCTAGGGAAGCAGAACATGCTTGAAAATAGTAGCCTCATGTTTTAGGGCTCAGACCTCTCTTCTGGATTTGCTTCAGCAAACTAAGTCTCTCCAATTTTTGTTTCTGTGTAATAAATGTCTGTGGTTAACCATCCAAAGCACATTACTTACAGATTTCTTTAGTATTTTCATATTTGAGCACTGGCAGTGCAGTGAACATTTATTCTCATTCTAAAATATATGGTCCAAATGATGATCTACTGAATACAATTTTTTTTTCCATTATGTGTTTATTTATTAACCAGATTTACTGTATGTGGCCTCCCATCTAGCCATGAAAGTTTGGGTGGAGAACATAATAAAATGCATCATCAAACACCAAGAAAAACCCAAGTTTCTCTCCCCCCGCCCTCCCCTTGAGTGTAGAAACACATCACATACATCCATGTCAAACTCCAGTAACTAACATCCCAGCCCCAATGCTGGAGAAGAGCCAGGTCATCACAGTGGTTCTGAAAGACCAGTAGGGTTGAGACTGCCATCTCTTTGAGGGGAGGCTATTCCATAGGACAGGCACTATGACAGGCATACTTCCTGGGGCCCATCAAGTGACACTGTTTCACCAAGAGTACCCCGATCATGCTCACTCTGCAAAGCTGGTAGAGTGGACAGAAACCATCAGGGAGAGTCCTGCAAGTAACCTAGCTCCATGTCAAGTAGGGCTTTAAAGGTGAAAACCCGCACTCTGAATTGGAGCACCTTGACTTTAAATAAATAATTGGTCAGTCTTTATTATCATTATTATACTGTATATACAGTTGTATATTAAATCAGACAACAAATTGCTCCTTTTGAATAGTTACATGGCGTTTTTTTTTAATCTTTGAAGATTGACATTCTGCCTGTTTAAAAATGCACAGTTTTGACATGTGTGAGGCAATTCCTAGTGTGGCATTTGCATTAGTATAAATCACTTGTGTGAATAAACATAGCTAAATTCAGGAAAGAAGAAATAAAACAAGAACTAACCATTTCTGTTCTTTTTTTCCCTGTAAGTAGTAATTCACTAAGTAGATCATAGAACGTTGCCTATGTGACACACTTTTCCAATAGTACACAGTTAAATTCAGCCAGGCTGGAAAGTACAGATTATATAGGAACTGCACCCTCAGTATTAATTTATAGCAGAATACCTGGCATATTAATGTCGGATGCTGAACAGTAATCCATACTATATTTCTAGGACATGGTGCTTCTTTTCTAATTTATTTTCTACGAGGAAATATTTCAAGTTGAATAAAAATGATGACTTTTGTGTTTAAAAATATCCTTGAATATTGGAGGTGGGGGGAGGAATTCCTAAGGATTTATGAAGAACAATCCTAATTTTAAAAGAGGTTTAGCTTTTTAAAGTTCCTCTCACATTCCATTAAGATTTAAGATAAACATGTCACATTAATATACACCCAAAACGGTCTGTACTGTTGAGTTTAAGATGGATTCATAGTAAGATGATCCATATTCATTACATATAATAAAGTGGAAGGTACTGGATTCAAGCAGGAGTAGGAAAAGAGCTGTATTAGTCTATGATGACAAAAAAACAAAAAACAAAAACCAGGAGTTGGTAGGATCTTTTCCGACTAACATATTTTATTGAAAAGCATAAGTTTTCATGAGCTGCAGCTTACTTCATTAGATTCATAGAGGAACTAGACTGATGTAGGATTTAAATGGGGTGAGGTGGGGGGGAAGGAGCTAGGTTGGTTTTGCAAGTGCAAGTTACATGTGAGACTGATTACCAGTAACTTATAAATTAACAATTGTAATGTGATAAAAACCCATTTGTTTGTTAAGGTCTTCTGAGATTGCCGGAAACTTTTTGATGTACATATGTGAGTTCAACAATTTCTCACTCAATGGTGTTATTAAACTCCTGTTTTTTCAAAACAGTCACTTTGAAGATTGGTCTGGAGTGTCCTGGGAGGTTGAAGTGCTCTGATATTAACTGGCCCTTGTTTTGAATCCTCATGTCAAACTTTAATTGTTTTGCGCAGTTAGTCCCATTTGTCCTACATAGAAACCAGAGGGTTTAACTGACAGATGGTGTCCTACATCACTTTGCAAGAAAAGCATATGAAAGTATATCTAATGTTGTGTATGTACAGTACTTGTTGGGGCCTGCGATACAGCTGTTGGATGTAAATGTGAGGCCAGAGTAGACATCTGGGTTTGTTGCAGGGTCCGGTTCTCATACTGGCATCATTGTCCTGTTGTTGTTGTGAGAATCTTCAGATTGTGTGGTTGTCTGTATGTAAGTATGGACTTGCCACCCAGTGCCTGAGAGAGTGCAGTGGCATTGCCCAATAATAACTGTAGCTTATTAATAGTGAGCTTTAGTGACATGAGCTATGGGCTGCAGGTGACAATCAGTGTTCTGTTGTTGTGTTTCTATGGTCTGTCTTTTAATAGATGCTCCTGGGAATTGATCTGGTTCTACTTATTTATCTATTTATTTCATTGGGTAGATATGGATATGGGTAGGTATGCCTGGTTTAATTCCATCAATTGAGCATCTCTGTCAAGTGGGTCAGAACAAATGTGGTTATAGCATAGACTCTAGGTATTAGTAATTGCTTTGGTCATGTGTTCTAGGTGGAAGCTGGAAGCATGGAGGTTTCCTGTGTAATGTGGTGGTTATGTGTCATTCATGTAGTTTTATGGCGACATCATGGAAGTGGATTTGTTCTGAAAATAGGTCTAGGCTGGGGTTGATGGTGGGGTGGAAGTTACAGAAGTCATGATGACATTTGATGATATATTCATTTCCTTGGGTCCAAATGATGAAATGTCATCAATGAATCTCAAGCAAAGGGGATCAGAGTTAAGAAAGTATTGTTCAAGATCAGCCAGGAATATGTTGGCGTGTTGAGGAGGCATGCATGTGCCTGTGGCTGTGCCACTGATTTGCAGGTACATGTTATTGCCAAAGGTGAAAATGTCATCTTGCATAAATGTAATTAGCAGAAGGTACACAATATGAAGTGGGCCTATCAGAAAACTTGATTCTTATCTGTATGATTGATTGGGAATAATCTCTGCAAACCTCTTCAGACCTAACAGGGTTCTAACTATTATCATATCCAACAAGCAAACATTCTTAGCATTTATCCCATCATTTTTACAAATGCAACTACAGTAAATAATAATTATTTCTATACTGTCTCTATATTTTTAGTTTTGAAGGGCCAAGAGACGTACTCAGTTATATCTACAAGGCCCTGGATTGAGTCTAGAAATAAAAATCCTCAATTCCTTCTACTAACCTGAGAATACCCATATCTGGGGAGGCCAGGGGGGACAGCATTCTTCAGTTCCTTACATAAGTGTTTTTCTAGCTCTTCCTTTAAAAAAAAAGACTATAAGTAGCAACTAGGTATAGTTGACTCTGCTCATTATGGCTATTTGATTCTCCCCAGAGTTGTATCAGAGCTGTGCACCACATACTGGTTGCCAGCTGCTACTGAATATGATATCCAATGCCTTGCAGATAAATGGTCTCTTTCACATTCATGTGTATCTTCTTTTCCCATCACTGAATTATTTTAATTTACCAGAGTATATCTTGGTGTGAATTCTGTGAGTATGTATGTGCTGTTGTGCGTGCACTTGGGTATGTATAACTGTGTATGCTTTGTATTATTCAACAACTCCAAATCTAGTAATGGTTCTAGTGACATTTTCGGTTGCATACTATCATACTGCTAAGGTTTGATTATATGAGAACTGGAGCTCACAATTATCTGGGATGGAGTTGAATATAAGGAAATGAAGAACTCACTTCCTATACTCTTCCCATTAAACCTAACACTCAGGTAGCAGCAAGCAAAATAAAGCAAAAGAAATGGAATACACATGACATTTCAGAAAATAACATGTTCTAGGGCAGAAGTGGTCAGTGGTGGTACTCCATATGTTGCTTAACTACAGTTAACTACACCTGCAGGCCTTGGATTATCCAGCCACGTGCTACAACAAGTATTGCTGCTTAATATTAATAAATAATAGTGTTTCAGTAATGTAGAACTATGTGATCTTGAGTAACTATTAATTTCTTGATTTTTGGGTTCTGTGGATTATGGAGGCTTCTGACAACACATAAAATGGTTTTTGAAAGAAAACCAAATAACTAATTTGCTTTTGAATATCTGTCATTAAATAATGAACTATTCTTTATTTTAGTTGTTTCAAGGGTGTGTGTGTGTGTGTGTGTGTGTGTGTATTCAGTAGAAATGATAGGCAGTGTACTGTTTTGATACATTCATATATTGCTGTGTGTGTGTGTGTGTGTGTGTGTGTATTCAGTAGAAATGATAGGCAGTGTACTGTTTTGATACATTCATATATTGCTGTGTGTGTGTGTGTGTGTGTGTGTGTATTCAGTAGAAATGATAGGCAGTGTACTGTTTTGATACATTCATATATTGCTTTGAAATTGTCAATTATATAATTGGTCATAGGCTGCAAATAACTTTGGACTAATACATAAGAACTTCCATATCTTATTTATTTTATCAGGTGTATCCTCAAGTACATTAAACATATGCATGAGAAATTGCATTTCCTATGTAAAACTGTCCTTTAACATTCATTTAGATATTTGCTAAATGTTTGTTTGGGAATGACCCCGATGTTTTCTCCTTTCTTCCCTTCCTCCCTCCTCCCTCCCTTCCTTCTCCTGAGCATGTATTATGCACATAATTGGGTCAGAAATGTTTCTAGGAAGGAAGGAATGCTAAGGTTAACTTTCATGTAATGTTCTCTTCGATTTATATGATAAAGCATTGCTTTATGGTCAATCTTGAAATAAATTAGTTTTGCCAGTTTTGGTCTAACGTATTTTCTTTATTAATTCTTTTCTACAGGCCATTCTGCTAATCTGACTTGTCGAGCATTCTTTGGATACAGTGGAGAAGTCAGTCCTTTAATGTATTGGATGAAAGGCGAAAAGTTTATTGAGGATTTAGATGAAAGTCGGGTTTGGGAGAGTGATATTAGGTAAAAAATATATGTACATATGTTTTGTCAAGACTAATAGCTTGTTCTCTGAAATGAATCAAATCAAATTTTAAAAAAGCAATAGACATTATTAAAGTGCACAAAATCATCTGAGCCTTGCTTTTTTGCAAGATGAGTACTGAGAACGGCATAGAAAATTGATCTTTCACATACATATACAATTATTCCTAAAACGACTACTTTAAGAGTCTACTGTTAAAGCAAGAATGGGGATTCTGTAACTGTAAAAAATATCTAGAAATCTTCATGAATAAAATACAGAATACTAACCCAAAATTTTATGATACACAATCAACGAAAGTCACTGAAACAGTGAGTTAAGACAAATGCAATTTCTAAGCCTTCTTTGGTTCTATCTGGCATGAATCTACTGCCTGAGAATGCTGCCTTTGCATCAAATGAAAATAAATCAAATGAGAGAGGAAAGTCCAGTGTCACAGAGAGAAGGAAAAAAAGAGAGAGAGTCAGTGGATAAGATGTGTACAAATTAGTTCAAATTCATATATTGATTTGCAGTTGTCAATTAGATATATGAACATAGCTTGCAACAATGTGCAACTTTGGAGAGAAAGCTAATAGCTTCCCTATCTTATTAATGTTATCATAAAGTACAATGACTATATATATGAGAAATACTGTAACTATATATATGAGAAATTGTTTCCATATACAAAGTCTTTCTGTGATATTCATTCAGATATTTCTTAACTTTTAGAAATAGTGATAATTGCTTTTGGGGTTTGTTTATTTGTGTGTATGTGTTGTTTGAGAATAAGCAAGTATTATGAGCAAAAGAAAATACATAATGCTTGAAAATGCAAAGAAAAATCAAGAATAACAGATTATCACTCCTCAAAGTACTTTTACTCAAAGAACTGCATTCATCTTCTGTGGATATTAATATGTTAATTAACTGAAAAATGGGAAGTATATAGAAATAAATTTTATTTTAACCATGACAGAACATATTTTATCATAACTGCAAAAAAGTATAGTAAAATTATTTAGTATTTAGATAATCATTTTCTCAGAACTTGTTTTATTTGCCTCATTTTTTTTACTTTAAAAAGGGTTCATGGAATGAGGATAACTGCGGATATTTTAGCAAAAAAATGTTCTAAAACATCCTCTAATTCTAGATCTTATTAGCATCTACAAACAGGTGTATTAATATATATTAATAGTAAACTAGTGGTTTAATTACATCAACGCTATTACTTGTTTTTTTATAAAGATTATATCAAGATTCTTTCCATGCAATATTATTTTTCAACAATTATGGATATATATAATATTTTTATTTTACCAGAGTCCTTAAGGAACATCTTGGAGAACAAGAAGTTTCCATCTCATTAATTCTTGATTCAGTAGAAGAAGGGGATCTTGGAAATTACTCATGCTATGTTGAAAATGGATATGGCCGCAGACATGCTACAGTTATTCTACTTAAGAGGGGTGAGTATATACATATATTTTAATTATTGTTTACATTCTATATTATATAAGGTTACTTTCTTATTTATTTTTATCTTTGTGTTCCTGAGAGAAAATATAAATTATTTTTCACTCTCTCTGGAATAGGCATTTTAAATAAATAATAGAAATCCATCATTAAATATGGCTGTCTGGTGAAGAAATACAGTTCAATAACTTTTTAATAATGTTTATATAGGAAATACATTTAACAAGTGGAAAATGAACTAATAAATATTTTCTGGTAGGAAGTTATTGCTAATAGAATTTTAATGTCTACCGTAATACAAAAAAGAAATCCAGTAGTCTTAAATGTATTTTGGAAGTGGGCCCAAACAACCAAGAAAGAAACTTTGTTTTTGTGCTTATAGATTATCGCTTGACAAATATTTTATTTTTCTCTCTCTTCTAATTATTATGTTTAAAACTTTATTGGGACTGAAATTTAAGTACCTTCTTTTTGTTTTGTTTTGTATGTTTGTTTTATCTCTTTGCCAAAATTGGAGAGCTGTAATCTAACCGATACCAACAGTAACATTTATCTAATACTACTTAGTGTACAAGTTATAACATTTTTGCGGTTGTGTTCTGCATTAAGCTACCTCTCCTGACTGACAGCATGCAGGGGCTCATACATTTAATGGCCAAAGGCCATTAAAAAGACAGAATGGTCCTTCTAGTAATTTAATGCAAGCACGATTCTACTCAGATGCGTTGAATAATGCGCAAGCCAATGGTTACAGATATCAGTTTGGAATGGCCACAGTGTTTCCTTGGTGACTGACCAATGGTTGTGGATAACGATTTTTTTCTTTTTCTCAGCCCTGATGTTCTAAAGCACAGCATGCATTCCTGCACAAGCTGGGATTATAGGCACTGTGATTCTCATGTGCATCCAACTGTCTCTAATATACATTGTTCCTATATAACTATCCTGCTAATTATTTTTTTGAGATTATGGATTTTATTATGTTTATAGAGCAAAAAATAAAGTAAGTATCACAGAAAAAAAGCTGATAGCTATACCAGGAGAATTATTCTAATTCTGTGTGTGCATGTGTGTGGGTGTCTGTCTGTCTTTCTAACACACACTGTAACAATAGTAATAGTAATTAATCAAAATAGCAATTTGCTCCTAGGGAAACAGGGATATGATTTAAAAAAAATCTCAGAACTGATGCAAATGGACCTAAGTTATAAAAACAGAGGATCTTAGTTGTTGGTGAAGTTATTTGATTAGGTCTGTGAAAATGAGACATACCTGGATATATTCAGTATACTTTCCATTTTGACATTTTCAGTAAATTGAGAAATTAGCCATGTTAGATTTATTTTTAAAAAATCAAGCAAGTTTTCCACCTGTAAAGGCTCTGCATATCTGTTGGCTTTAAAAAGTAATTTCACCATAGCAACATTTCTTAATGGTATTTCTCTGCTTAGTCTTCCATCTTTATTATGTAAAAATTTGTTAGGTGTTAGTTCTCAATTATTTGCTTATTCTGGAGCATATATTAGATACATGCTTTTAGCAATTTAATAATTCCTGTTATTTGATAAAATTACAAGTTAGGCTGTAATGATATATTACTTCCTTACAAGTAAGAAAATTCCATAAATTCAATGGATCATTTTTATATTTTAATTTTTTTTATAGATATGCATAGGCATCAGATTGCCTGGTTAGTTATATTCACTTCATATTCCATGAAGTAAGCATATTTTTCCTTAAATGTTAATGTCTATATTAATAGGGGAATTTTTTAAAATCCATCTTTTAACCCAGTTTATCAATGTGTCTGACAAATATAAAAATAACATATTAAAAGTTACAACAGTTCTAAAATAAGCAAAAATTCTAAAAGAAAGATAAAACTAAAGGACTGAAAAAAAAATCCAATAGTATTTCCATTTGAAGAAGTCACATTGATCCTGCTTTTTCACTGTAATTTGTTCTTTTTTCACAGTAGTAGCATTATCAAGATCAAGCAATGTTTAATACCTTGCAGACACAGAGATTTTAGACAACTTTTAGAAAAATAGAAAACTATTTTATATCATTTTATGCAATATTCAACTAAGGCCTTTGCCATTTCAACTTGTAATAAATGTATTAGAATAATAGACATAGTCATTTTCTAAAACGAGCATTATATAAATACAATCTAACCCATCCTGTCTTCAAATGTATGAACTAAAGTTTCTATAATCTCTCAGCCATCATGGGAATTATAGAGGTTGCAGTTCAATGTAACTGGATGGAGAAGCTTTACATATACAAGATAGAGACTATGTGTTACACAGCTTTATGAGAGAGAGAATGAGAGAGAGAGAGAGAGAAGTAGAGGGAGATGAAAGCTCACGATTTATTAATATAATAGGTCTTAATAATGCAATATAATATAATAATAAATGGAGAGAACATATTCATTTACTGGTACTGCTGTAATATGAGACTTTTTCACAACATGGAACTTACCTCCTGTAGTCTTAATTACAAAGCAACTTGAAATTGTAAAGGAACTTCTAATGTCATAATTGCTTCTTAGAATTTTTCAACTTGAATTTTAAGCTATGTATCTTTACAAAAATATGGGATTTTTTCCTATACAATACAGCATTTTCCTTATTTGCTTATTTTGTAACCAGTTCTATATAATCAGTAGTTGTTACTATGTACAAAATGTACAAAATATCCTCCTTGCTTTATTAGCCATCACTACTAATAAAAAGGAATAATTCCCATATTCTCTCTTTTTATGATCCACTATGTTTATTCCTCCTTTACATTATTTGTTAAAAAGAGAGCAATTGTCAACCTTCTTTCAGCCTAAATAACTTCGTAGTCTTAAAT